AAAATTAAATGTATAAAACGGATGAACGAAAAAAGTACTTATCTATCTATATATATTACCATATTTATTATCTATAAAAAATAATTACTATTTTGTTTTTATAAAGATTTTAAAGTAATTTTTATAATTAAACTTTTTTATCAAAGAAAAAAAAGTTACTGTTTCAGTTTTTTTAAAAAAAATTAAATGTATAAAACGGATGAACGAAAAAAGTACTTATCTATCTATATATATTACCATATTTATTATCTATATATTATCTATAAAAAAACAATTACTATTTTGTTTTTAAAAAGATTTTAAAGTAATTTTTACAATTAAATGAGAAACAATTTTAAAACAGTTCTAAAAAATAGGGTGTCTGATTCCTTTTTTGGGGGAGGTTATCATAATTTTAATTTGAATAATAATAATAATAAAATTAAAAATTAAAATAAAAGATGACACATGTCAAAAGAAAATAAGATTAAAATTTTTAAAAGAAAAAGATTACGGAAAACTGTAAATAAGGATAAATTTGCAATTCAAATTATTTTTAAATTCAAAATCTTAACGGAATAGAATATTAAATATAAATAGAAACTAAAAAAAAAAAAAGAGAAAAAAATTACGTTTTAATATCTAAAAATGAGGTGCTTTCAAGGATAAGATTAGTCACTTATTTTTTAAAATTTAAATTTCAAATTAATTAGTTAGGTAATTTTGATAATGTATTATATAAGTAGCAGAAACAAAAATAACAACTCCCTTGTTATTCTCTTTACACAACTCATCACACGTTTCTAAAATTATTTGTTTTAAACTTTTATTATATATATAAATATATAAAATAATAGATTGGGGCATTTAATAAGATATGTTATTTGAACAATAATTTAAAAGATGAGGAGATGTAATATTTAATATTTTTTAAATCTGAAAATTTAAGAATTTTTGTTATGCTAATATATTTGATTCTATATTCAATATTTAATTTTATATAAATCATGCCACGAATCTGAAGCTTTGGAGAAGATGAAGATTTTTGCATTAATACGTAATGATTATTTTGTTTTAGCAGAACTTAAAATTGATCATGGTTTTTTTTTTTTGCAAAGTACAATTTTATAATATTTAATTTTTAAAAATAATTAATTTAACTAAACAAAAAAAATAAAGGGATATTAACTGATTTATCCTTTGTTTAAGTTCACGTTAAAAGTTTTCTAACCGCTTTAAAATTTTCATCCATCTAAAAGATTTAATTAAATGATTTTTAATTAAAATTGAAGAATAATTATGACGCTGACACATAAGCGGTTTATCCTCTCCTATTATATATAGATAGAAGATTAAGCTTGACAATATCATTTATAATTGCACGGAGCGTAGATAGATTACCTAGTATATCTAAAGACAAAATCTCATATCATCTCTTCATATTAAATATGTAATTATGTAACCCTTTTTTTGTTTTAGACACAAAATCAAGGTAGACTCTATTCACATTTATTCTTATTTTTTGCAAAACACCAAAAGAAAAAAGAGTTAAATAAAATGGTTTGCTTGCTTAACACAACATCTTATTCCATAAAACCAAAAAAGAAAGTTGATTCTCAATTAAAGTAAATATATGTCTTTATTTGTTTATTTAAAGCACCCAAATATATGAAACTTTAACATTTATTCTTTACTATGGAAGCAAGGCTTGTATTATTCCTTCATAATAAATCCTATAAGAGTGCTGCATGTTTCATGAAATCTAAGTCCTAAGTCCAAATCCTAATACAGGTATGAAATGTATTTTTCTTATACTCTTCAATATGCTTAAATATTGTAAGACTCTTATCAACACGAGGATCTATCAGAAATAGTTTCTCTATCCACAAGATAGGAATAAGATCTACGTAGATCCTGCCCTGTCATACTTTACTTGTTACCCTAAGTATGTAGTAATAGTAGACTAGTAGTTACCAACATTAAGTCTGTTAATTTTTATCTTCTAAGTTTTGTCGTGCAAACTATTATTTTAGTCATTTATTGTGGTAAAGTCCACGTAACTCTATAAGAAGGGTTTGTTTCGATTTTAGATTTTTTTGTTACGCGTGTATTAAAATTTATATTATATAAATTGATAGTGTAAATAATTTTTTATATATTACTCAAGTTAAACATGAAATAGTCATAGCATACTATTATTGATATTTAACATGTTCTATCAAGTAAATTATCTTGATTGAATCAATATTTAGTCAATAAATACAATTTAAAACCTCATATGAGTTTGAGTATTTTTCTCTAGTTATAAATTGATCAAATTTCAGAATTTCTTTATCTATAAATTGATCAAGTTCCATACTCCGAGATAGTAGTAAAGAAATCTTAAATAATACGTGTCATTGCCTTTTAAGTGACCTGATTGTGTATTTCTTTTACATAGTTTAGGTGTGTAAAACTTAAATTCATTTATATATATTTTTCAATAATTATCCTATAAGTTACTCGATTGTGCACATATTATTTTATAACGTAAGTGCATAAAACTTAAACTCGATTGACTAACGTTGCTTGTTCAATCAGGAAGCATACCAAAAATGTCCTTAGAATTTGAAATGTTGGACATCACAATCCCAAGACAACAAACTATATCAAGAAAACGTCAAATACCAAAAGTTCCATTATTTATGAGAATTGACAATCAAAAAAGTGATGACTATGATCCTAAAGTTGTTTCATTGGGACCTTATCACCATGGAAAGTTAGAACTCAATTTTGTTGAAGATTTCAAGCCAAAGGCTCTAGAAATGTTCATTCATGGAAGTAACAAAAAACAAGATTTCTTCCTTGAAGAAATTCTAAAGGAGATTGATGATTTGAGAAGTTGTTACCTTGAAGAATTCACGAATAAGTATAGCGACTATGAATTTGCACGAATGATGCTCGTTGATGCATGTTTCATACTAAATGACATCGAGATATCAACAAGGTCTACACCAAATTCTGCCTCTAAACAGAGCAACACTATCAAACACCTTGGCATTGCGGTTTATTTGGTCACTAGACGTGACCTTTATTTGCTCGAAAATCAGGTATCAATGGCATAGGAAAATTTAAAATCAAGTTCTTTTTTTTGTTGGAAATATGCGTGTTAATAGTAGTGAATATTACTTTCTATATATATATATATATTAAATCTTGACCTTTTGTTAAATACATGCAGGTACCTTTTTGCGTTCTCAAGCTCTTGGTTAAGTTGAGATATGACGATGATCAAGGTAGTGGATATCATTCATTTGAAGAGAAGGTAAAAAGCTATTGTTCTCAAATGTTTTTCGATAAGCAAGAGGACATCAAAATGAAAGTAAACACGATAATTGAGACAGACCCCTCTCACCTTCTTGAAGTTTTCCGTAGAGTACTTGTCAATGGTAGTGACGATGAAGCTAATGCCACAAAATCACGTAGTTATGATTTCATCTTTGATTATTTTCCCGATTGTTGGAGGAAAAATCATGTACCACACAAATCAGGATTGCTCACAAACGTGTTTCGTTCCGTCATGGATTTGAAATCAAAGGGGATTCATTTTAGGCCTAGTGGAATTGATTCATTAAAAGGTGTGAGATTTACATCTCACTATTACTATGGAAAACTAAAACTCCCATGTTGGTATGTTTCAACATACACTAAAGTATTTTTTATGAACATGATAGCATATGAATTATGTCCAAATGGTCCAATTGATAGAGCTGTTGTGTCATACATAAATTTCATGAAATCACTAGTGATTTCACCAAATGATGTGAAAGAATTGAGAGAAGAGAAGATAATATTCAACACATTGGGAAGTGATGAAGAAGTTGTACAAGTTTACAAAGGATTAAAAACTTATGGGGCAGATGATCCATTACTTTTCAAGAATGTGAAGAGGAATATTCAAGAACATTATAATAACAAAGGGAAGACTTGGATTGCTGAATTAATTGATACATATTTTAATAGTCCATGGTCATTAACTGCTTTGATTGTTACTGTTTTTCTTACTTTCTTGACTATTGTTCAGACTTATTATGGTAGTCCATTTTATCATTCCTTTCATGAATGATAGAATAAAAACATACATACTTGATGTAATTTCATAAGTGGAGTCTATTGTTTCTGCTTCTTTTCCCCCTTTCAAATTGTCTTTTTTGCATTTTTGATTTCACTCGATGTTCATTATTTGTACTTGAGCTTGAGAAGTCCAATATTGGAGGTAAATTGCTCCAATGTAACTTCATACTTAGGGCTCAAACACAAGAACTTTGATTAATGATAAAGAAGTAGTTATCACTCTACCACAATTCTTATTGGTGATGTCATTTTACTTATTATAGTACATTCTACCTATCTTAGTGACAAAATACTTAGGGAAAAAAAAATGTATAACCATCTAGTATTCGATATGCACTTGGCCAAACTAAATTTCTAGATTCTGTAGGAATGTATCTGATTGTAATATTTATTGCCTCATGATACAGTTTCATTCTTATATAGTTAAAAAAAGAATGATACTTTTTTTATATTTACAAAAATAATATAATTTTAAATTTCTAATAATAGTCTTAATATATAATTTTATAGCTATAAAAATGTTTATAACGTACTTTAGATTAAATTTATAAAGTCTTTTTTTAGTTATAAAATTTGTATCAAATAAAATTCTCTCGATCTCATAGTGTACATCGTCTTCCCTTAAAGCTCTTTTCTTGATTATCCCTCTTTAAATAATAAATCTTGTTCACCATTTTATAAGTTTCTTACCTGGTACTTGTCAAAAATAGTGAATTTTGTTGAACCCCTTGGGAAAGAGTTAACAATTAGTATATTTTTTGCACATAATTCATAGAGATGGGTGTGGGGGTGGGGGTGGGGGGGAGGTTGAGAGAGTAGAAGAGGGAAAAATGGGTGGTGGATCTTGGATAAATATGAGGGCATTTGATTGGAATACAGGGCAAACAATATTGATTGTCCTGGGAAAAACCCATCTTTATATGCACCTCAACAAGAACAACAACAGCTTGAAAAGCAACAACAATTGTCTATTGCTTCCAATTCCAGCTCTTTAGAATTTACCTCTGGTTAGTACTCTTTTTGTGAATATTATAAAGTTTGAATCTTTGAGTGCTAATGAAGAAGTTGCTGAGAGATGAGAGTATTTGAGTTATAGGGAATATTTGTTGCAGTGTTGTTGAAGTTATATTTTGTTTAGCTAATCACAGGAAGAGGAAAGCATTTCGAATTGCTTTTAAGAAATGGGTGATCCTTTTTTACTCTTTTTGTTTAAGAGAAAGTGGATATGCTTTTAATAAAGGGGAATTCTAAAGCATAACATAAGCTTGAACTTGAAATACTTACCTCTTCTCAACTCACTCAACTAAACTCAACTCAGAAATAAGATACACAACTTAAAGATAAGATATTCAAATCAGTGAAATAAGGCTCAACTCAATAATAAGACACTCGACTCTTGGTACTCAAACTCTGGATACTCAACTCAATATAAAGCAACAATAAGAGATGTAATATATGGAAAACTTTTAAAACAGTAGAAAGCAACTCAATGTATTTAAGAATACAATATACTCAGTTTGTATGCAAGGATACAATATAAACTCTATTTGTATATGAAAATACATAATAAACTCTATGTATATAAGAATACAAAATATCTCTATGGAGTTTCTGTAACTGACAACCATCACTTATGAGTTATGTGATGATACAACATTTTGCCTCACGCTGCCAGGGCCATTCTATACCTTGTCGGGGCTATAGAACCTAACTACTAAGTGGATCCACTGGTGTATGCTAAAAAGCACTAAGGAATCATCTAAAAAGTATGACCCTTTTCTACCCACGTTGGCTACATGGTTTATGGGGGCTGTGAGTTGTCTGAACTCTCCCCCATATCGGTGCTCAATACTACTCCCAAAATATAAGTAGCTCATATGTTTAAAAACATAATTCTTTCTGTAGTTTGAGATAATTACTCAAAAACTAGCCCAAAGTCTCTATTGGAAATCAGTGTTTCCTCTCTTGCTTAAATGTGAAAGCATTTACTCTTTAACCGAAAAACTAGCTCAAAGGCTCTTTTGGAAATCGGAGTTTCCTCTCTTGCTTAAATGTGAAAACATTTACTCTTTGGAAATACATAGTTCCAATATACTCTTTTGAAGAAAATGAACTTCATTCGTTACTCTTTACTCAACTCCAAACTCAAGTCTTAGAACACGTTTAAAGCATTTGTAAAACACTTCTTAAAATAGGGTTCATGCCGAATTATGGACGTGAATGACTAAATTCAAGGTTTTCAATAACCATAGATAGAACTCAATAATTGGAGCTCAAGAACTTCAATGATACTACTCATTTCAAGAATTCTCAACTCAGAGGGTTCATGCAGAATTATGAACATGAACTACTCAACTCAAGGACTCAAAGATACTTCTCATCTCAAGACTGATCGACTTATAGGGTTCATGCGGAGTTATGGGCATGAACCACTAAACTCAAGGACTTCATGGGTAACATGTAATAGTCCCATGATTAGGAATATAATCTCAAATAGTTTAGGAACTCATATCACTATAGTTTGCGCTTTTTTGTCTTTTGATCATGGTGCTTTTTCTCTTTGAGCAGGGCTGCACCTAATTTCTCCTCACTAGACAATTCAGCACCTGTCCCACAAAGTGACTCACCACATATACCGATTTAAGATCACTTTCCATCTTCATAAACCTACAGATGTTAAAGGTGACCTCCTCCTTATTCAGTCGGAACTTCATCCTTCATCTGCCCTCTCTCCATATCGACTAAGGCACGCCCGGTAGCAAGGAATGGTCTCTCTTAGAGTCCCAGGCAGCGGCGCCAAAATTTGATACGCTCAAATTACACCTCTATTAAAGAAGTATAATCGGTTGTCGTCAAATAAAGAAACCAACTTGTAGGTTGGGATCGATCCCACGAGGAATATGGTTCATACTTAAACTTAACTCGCTATTATATCCGTTTAGTTAAACTATTTCCGAGACAAGTAAATAAAAGGGGGGGGGGGGGTTTGTAAGCAAATAACTGATTGTTGATCAAGTAACAAGTGAGCAAGATTCAAACTTTAAGTTATCAATATGAGAGAGAAACTAGGGTGTATGTGTTCCCCACAAGCTCTTAACATGGTAATCCTAATAATAGTAATCATTTCCTAGTGTTTTACATGCAAAGTTGGTAAGTTAGGTATCCCTAAGTGACTGGTCCTCCAAATAGGGAATTTCACTATGTACCTTGCTACGGCTACGCGTGTATACTTTATTAACCCTTACCTTTACCTCATATTAGACATCACATCAATGTATTTCTTAGTTTTCACCCTCGCACCAATTGACATTAGACTATTAGATAGCATCCACTAAATCTCTATTGTTAATTCTTTTCTCATTCATTACCTCCTTGGTCCGGCAAGTAGGAACGAGGCGAGTTCTAATGTTTGCAACCGTTAAAACTTACTAAGCGAAAGAATTACCAATACATGCATAAACACTATTCAAGAATTACTTAATTATTATTCATACGTTGTTAATTGCTCATGGTTCCCACAACCCTAGTTGTGGATTTAGCTACGCATGCTTGAAAGAACACAATTCATGCTTTGATAAAAAGAATTCATGAACTTACGATTAGAGTAGAAAAAACCCGAAATCTCCAATTGAATTTCAATGTGAAAATCTTATAAATCGAAATCTGAAAATCAAATTGCTAAAAGTTTGAAAGTTAATTCCCAAAGAAACACAAAAACTAAAAGTATACAATGTTGTCTAACCCCCAAAAACGAGGTTTATAACTCTTATTTATAGAAAACATGTCCTAAATAAAAAGGAAACAAAATAAGGAAATAATAGGCTGGGACGCGGTTTCAGTTGATGCTTCGACCTATGGACCATGGGTCGACCTATGGTCCATAGGTCCCCTCCGTGGCTCAACGCTTACACAATTTCATCAGGTACTAGAACCTTCAACTTTATGATCTTCATCGACGACTGTGCAGGAAGGACCGTGGGTCGACCTACAGTCCGTCGTCTTGCTCCGTGGATCCACACTTGTCAAACTTCCCTAATGGTCCATCTACGATACAACACCTATGGTTCGTGGACTGGGCTACGGTCCGTCCTGGCAATTCGTGGTTTGAGTTACTGAAACTCATCTCCCAGGCTAAGATCCATGACTGCCCATCCACGATTCGTCGATGGACTTAAGGTCCGTGGACGGCACCATTGGTGGCTACTTCAGCAAATTTCAGCTTGCATCTTCATCAACCGCATCTAAGCCTATTTCCTGCAAACGTTAGACACAAAACATTAATTCTAATACATTATAGCCCTAGACACACACAACTTCTAAGTGAAATGCATAAAAAATACCGTAAACTCACAGTATATCAATATCAAAATCATGTTTGGCGTGTGGGTAAATGAACCCAACACTATGGAAACTTACATACCTCTTAGGGATCAAACCTATGGCAAAAATCCACAACAAAATGCAAGAACCTCGACGAACGCCTCTTTTCTTCTTTTTTCTCTTCTTGAACTCTCAGTTAAAACCCTAGGCGTATATTAGGATTATAAATCTGAACCTAATAGGATTAGACCCTTAAAACCTTACTAAAAATGAATTAAATCTGATTTGGAAAGGAAAAGACCAAAATACCCCTCACTATTTTCGGGTAACTTTCCTTAACTAGACAACCTGACTTCAAAAGGGCATATCTCACTTATCTGACCTCGACACTTAGCAGACTCGGTAGAGTTGGAAAGATAATTCAAAGACATTTCATTTTCCATCTTATGGCACACCTAACTCATCATGTACTAAGAATTATGGTTGTTTGAAATTGACCAAAATCTTAGAAGAACTTAGGAATGACTTGAACGAATTCCCTTTAATTCTTTTTGGAACTCAAGGTGCTATATCTAATGACCTTAACACTTAAGAAAATTTAAATTTCTAGGTAAAATCCTACTCACAACGAAGGATGGTTCGAGTCTTAGCTCACAAAAAAATTCGGGGTGTTACAAT